GGTGCTGAGGACTGAACCCAGCACCTCACATGTGCTAGACAAGCACTTTACCACTGAGCTACTGCCCCAGTCCCTTACATGTGTTTTCAAATTGCAGAACTATAAACTCACTGGACCTCCAACAGAGTAGTCTCCTAAGTGCTCTCAGGTACAGGCTGAGTAATTTTAAAATGGAAAATTCAAAAGTACTAAATAAAGACACACTGGTACAGCAATGATGTAAGAGAAATTATAAATAATTAAATAGCATCTCTGTGTACTGGAATATTGAATTTGCTTTCTATTTTAAACTGCATGAGACTGCAAAATCCTTCCTGTTATCACTTTGAGAAATTTACCATAAATTTAATTAAGCAAATGAGGTCACAAATGGAAGTTCAGTAATTTATTAAGACATTGGCCCTATTTTCTGGCTTTACTGTGGCTTTTTTAAAATTAACCAGGTAAAACTCCCTTGTTTCTCAGATGTTGAATGATGAAGCAGATTTAGTAGAGTAATCTTAGCACTCTTCCACACTAACACATGTGGACCTGATTCAAGGAAAGAACTTATAAGTTTTATTTGCAAATTTGATTATTTTTAAAAAAGTTTAAACAAGACAACAAAGGACTATGATCTACCACTTTCTAAATAATTCCTGTTTTAGAACAGGACAGCTGTTAGAATACTAATTAAATGCTGTATGAATTTGCTCAAACACTCAGGAAAACATGTATACTTATAATTCACTGTAACTAATAATTCCTCAAAGCACAGAATATGCTAAAATGGCTCATGCATAAATTTCCAAGTTAACAAATTCAAGTGGATGGATACTAATAATATAGTAGCTCTCTCCCATGTAGGCTACTATGAGAATTAATAAATACAATCAAATACCACAAGTAATTTCATATGAAGGAAATCAATAGTCAGGAAGAGGATGAACAACTTCTAGAAGAAAAAAAAGCAATGAGGGAGGACCATCTTATTACTAAACACTGGAACATTTCTAAAATGTCAGATCATTAAAATACAGCAGTTGACAATAACAGACATGCTTGTGTGACAGAATACTTAGTGCACAGTAACAGCATGAGAAGGTGAGTGAATTTACTGTACAATTTAAAAGGCATCACAGTAAACATAAAGGGGATTATCAGTCATGAATAATGATGGGATTATTATTAATAATTTTCCCAGTGGCATAACCATTGGGAAAAATCAACTGAAAATACTAATCTCAATAACCCTCAAAACATATTTACCAAGATTTAAGACAAAAACAAAGAAGAGAAAAGGAGAAAACTCCTCAAAGAATATAAACTACAACACCATGCTTTAAGAGAATAATCTTATGGGGCTGGGGATATGGCTCAGCAGTTGAGCGCTCACCTAGCATGTATGAGGCGCTGGGTTGGATCCTCAGCACCACATAAAAATAAGTAAATAAAATAAAGGTGTTGTGTCCAACTCAAAAAAAAATTTTTAATAAGAAAATAACCTTATAAAAATGGTTACAGCAGTTTTCCTTACTTCTTAGCGTCTGCTGGATCTCTAGCTCACTTAGTCTTACATTCAAAACATAAATTACAGGTCCTACAAGATTTACTAGGCTTATAAAAAACCAGTTAAGACAATGTTGGGGTGTAAACTAATCAAAAAAGTCAGTAAGAGTATAATTATAGGTTATAGATTAGTAAAAAATTATAGATTATAGATGTAAGATTTTTGACTCCATTTTGCTGCCATATAT